CATCTTTAGTTATGCGCCGCAGCCGCATGACAATCTGGTCTTGGTTCACAAGGATGGCAGTAGCAGCAAACTTGGTGCTGGCACTACTACGGCAGCCGGATCGGCACAAGGACAAGGACAGCCGCAACAACAACAACAGAGACCTCGCGGCACAGGCTTCCTCGGCGTTGGCTCTCTGGGACAACACGTCTACGGCGTGCCTATCCCCGCAGGCGCAGGCGGTGTCCCCGGTGAGAGGATGAGCGCGTTCACCTTTCGCCGATGGGAAATTTTGAATGAGCCCACGCCAACGACGGGAGACAATGTGACAAGTTTGGATTTGAGGCTTTTTGAGGCGATTAAATTGCAATGACACTCCGTACGGAGGTGCGTTTTTTGCGAGTTGAATTGAGGGATTAAACAAACACAGCACAGCGCGGAATTGAATGAATTACATGTATCCATAGCGAGCGGAGCGAAACCGGACAGGCGAACACATCGGCGTTGAAAGGGCATCCATTTTGTTTTTTCCCTTTATTCCTCATTTACACTGAATTTCTCGGATTGATTTTTTTATTTCTTGGGGGTCACGGAGGTTGACTGGCATCATGAAGTTGTTTACATCCCTCGTTTCTTGATTCATTTTCTTCCTTTTTCATCTTTTCTTTCCTCTGGCTTTCATGAAGTTACGGCGTCTATGGAAAGTGACGATGCATAGGGTCTGATGTTCCTTGGCTTCTGCTCTTTTTGTTTATTATCTTTTTATACATACATTCTTCACTTTTGGGGTGTATTAGGTGTTCGGAATATAATATCTCGAGTCTTTGCTTGTTCACATCCTTGGGTTCGTTATTGTTCGTGTGTTGTCTGAAGATGCAGGTCAAGTTGAAATTGGTTTGGGATTTGAAGAATTGACGGTTGAGAACGTTTGTGCGAAGATACATATATACACATAGAGAGATGGCGCACCGCACCGCACCGCAGCGCCGCTGCTGCCATTGTTTTATATGCAGCGGTAGCTTGAGATTTATGCTAATCCGATTATTTGGGAGTGCTAACTCTGCCAACCTCATGATCATTTTCATTTTTGGTGTGATCAATGTTCGTTTGATGCTTCTTATATGTTTGATTGTATTAACAATCCCGAATCGTCCCTCCACCCGCATATGAACACGTCCCCTCTGGCATCTGCATGTTCTGGGTGTTGGAGCAAATCGGCGAGCAGTGTTGGCCCAACCAGGCCTCGCAAGAGGCAAAGGCAAGCTGATGCAGCAATTCAAAGCCCATGACGCAGGGCCTAGCCCAACAACTAAGTTGGCTGCTCGCAAGGACCACAGCAGCCTCAAGGACGACACCAATATCTTCATTTGTCACGCGAATCTCTACATCGCAGCATCAAGCATCAGAATATGAAGTAAATGGTTTTATTAAAAAAAAAATACGAGCTTTGTAGGCCGTGGCCCATGACCCCCCATGGCCCACGTTCTATATTGGGTCGCCATGACTTGGTAGTGTAAGCGAGACCACCCTTGGCCCCGGCCGCTGGGCCGTACTCTCGATAATGCGTGCCGTGTTATGGCCGTAGATGGCCAGGATGACCTTTGACACGACCTGTTGCGCGCATTTCAACCGAGAATATAGTTCTGCAACAACCTGGGTCAGTGGACCATATAGAGAGCATGAATAATTGAAACTTATAGATGAAAAAAGCAGAACGTAAAGGAGGATCCATCTGTACATCTCAGATACCAGAGTGCGCCACTGGTGTGCGTCCGAGCCAGGCAAGCCCCTTGTCCAGCCACGCGATCGTCTCTGACAACGCCATAGACGTACAAGTGCTGGCGCTGTGCTGGGACATTGGTGTGAACAGGCCTCGGAGATGTCACCAAGCAGTCATCAACCAGCTCGGTAGTTGGGACGAATGGACCTGTGATGCGGCACAGGCGCAGTCCTGCAGCACGAACCCCCGGATAAGGCGGATGTCAAAGCCACCCTCCGGGCCACCGCCGACGCTGATGGCGAGGCCATGTTCCTATTTTGGCAATTGGCCGGGCCCAGATGCGAGGTAGTGGGATCGTGTACAATGGCGTCAGAACCATATGTGCTTTCTCTCTGTGTGTCCTCAGAACTGGGGACTGTTTCCCATCCCTTCCTCGGCGTGTCTTGGGTGTTTGCAAAATATGAGAAGGCGGGCAACCGTGCATGCACACTGCGGCTGGAGAGGATTTTGGCCGGTTTGTTTGATGGTGCAGGGTGCGTGGACGAGCCTTGAGAAACAGGCAGCCAATGACGAGCGGGGAACAGGGATCCTGAGGGGGCGTCATGTCTGCATGTGGTTGGCTGTCTCGACCATTCGAAACACTTTGGACCCTGACCCTTGACCTTGGCCACTGGCCACTTACATTTGTGATCGACCCACAAGGAAAGCCAGCGATGGGCCCTGTAAGGCCCTGTAAGGCCCTGCGAGGCCCTTAGCCCTTACTACACAGAGCCCTGCAGCTCCCTCTGACTGCGCCTCTGCCAGCGGGTGCTCCACTGTCAGCCAACCCCAGGCCTGCACTACTGACTTGCGCCTGTACATTTCGTTACGTACCTGGGCGTGCTGGGCGGCCGTCCGTCTCACCTCTCAGGCTCTCCCAGACATCCCCAAACGCCCTTTGTAACCCCGACCCTTTTTGCCTTCCTCTTTTGTTTTCCCTTCCCTCCTCCAACTCTGTCAAATAGGTGCGTTCTTCCTAAACCACATCGCCATCGCCATCCCATCAGCCCCGTCTCCTGAGGTCTTTCTTCACCTCTCCCGACACTTGCACCGCCCTTGCAGCATTTACCGACCAGCAAGACGACGTCACTGACCCATTTTCTCGGCACAGCCAAGCACTTACTTACACACGATAAGCTAGCCGTTTGAGCAGCCGCCCACCATCGCGAACTCCACTCGCATCTTGGTACAAGCCGTCGCCATCCACGCACACACACACCATCACCAAGACATCTGCAATCATGCTGCTGCGACCTCTGCTTGCCGTCGCCGGCCTGTCCGCTGCCGTCAATGCGTTCCTCGTTCCTCCTCAGCTCAACGCCCACGAAGTCGACGCTTTTGAGTCCATCCCTGTCGAGAGCGCTGCCATTGCCCAGGCTCAGACTGTCAACCTTGAATGCCCTGGCTGCCCACCCATTTCCCAGCACAAGCCCAAGAACCATGCCAAGGGCAAGGGCGAGCACCATGGCCCGCACACCAGCCATCTCGAGCTTGAGTTCACCACTGATGCACACCGCCTGATGGTGAATGGCTTCGAGCTGTACCCCAACTCGGACCCATTCAGCAATGCTCTTCTTGCTCCCCAGGTTACCGAGAAGGTCCACCACAAGGACCACAAGGGCCACAAGGACCACAAGGACCACAAGAATCAAAAGAGCCACAAGCAACACAAGGAGAACAGCAAGAGCGAGTCCAAGGAGGTCAAGGGCCACCACAAGTTCAACCACGATGGCAAGCCCAAGACTGTGCAGCACCAACTTGGCTTCAGCCTCCAGGTCCAGCCCATTATTCAGACTGCGGATGAAGGCATTGAGCTTGTTGTTGTTGACCTGCAAATCATCGAAGTTGGTTCCATCTTCGTCGACGGCCTGCCCAACATTCGCGTTCACCTGATCAAGGCACCCACCGGTGAGCTCCTTATTGCCAAGATTGTGCAGCAGACCACCGCCAAGCAGACAGAGCAGGGCCAAGAGTGCACCACTCTGTTGTGCAAGTGGCGGGCTGTTATTGCGGCTTCCATCCAGAAGATGAAGACCCACGGCTGTGCCGGCATGATGGGTGGCAAAACTGGCCACGCTGGTCCCTCTGCTCAGCACAACCACCACCACCACCAGGGCCACCAGGGTCACCAAGGTCACCACGCCTCTGGTGCCAAGGGCTTCCACCACCGCCAGCACGGCTGGGCCCTGCTCTTCCGCAAACTCACCTCGCACATTCTCCTGCCTGTTCTGGTCGGTATTGTCGCCGGTGTCAGTGTCTCCATTCTCGGCATGGTTGTCGGCACCGTCCTGGTTGGTCTCTGGCGTAAGGTCGTTCGTGGACAAACCTTCTTCCCCTCGCACCACTGCCGCCGCTTTGGCCGCTCCAGCTGCCGCAAGGCTCTGCATCAGGAGATTGCTTTGCCCGAGGAGAAGACTGGCCTCATGGTGGAGAGCACCGACAACCTGCCTCCTCCCCCATCCTACGAGGACGAGCCAGCCGAAGAGACCAGCCGTGTTTAAAAAGAATTACTTGTCGAAAAGTTGACATTGCATTATAATACTCAGCATGGTATTGAAGAGGCAGAGAGCGGATCACGCAAGTTATGTTCCGAATGGAAGAGCAAGCGATCGTCTGCCTTTCAATGTGGACAGTGAAAATCCAAACCAATACAACAAAGTGCAGACATGTGTCTGTCAGGATCAGGATTTTCTGATGTCAGGAAACGGCGTTTTTCATCTTTGTATTTGAAGTCTAAATGAAGGCTTACCACACGGTGCTCCTTCGTTACAGCAAGGCACCGGTTACCTGTTTTTACATCTTGTTTCTTGTATTGTTTTTGCTCGTTACGCGATCTAGGTTCACTCCTTTTTCATACGTATGTGCTTTGCGGAAAGGAGCGTCAAGATTATGCACGCCTTTTTTCGTATTGTTCGTCGTACGGGGAGTTCGTCTTTGATAGGATTGATTTAGTTTAAATACCCAGCACACTCTTTTTCCTCTTGTTTCTTTTTCTGAATGTTTATCTGGACCGTGGCCGTGGGTGATGGGATGATTGTATATTGTTGTTGCCCACTACTTGAGTAAAGAACGCCAACTGCACGACAGTTAGCATGTTGTTCAGATTCAATGTGTTGCATGCCCATAACCCATGTGAAGAAGCCCCTTCAAGCAATAGTTCTGAAATGTCAACGTAAATTGAGAGCCGCTTGGGGGACAGGGTAAGTTCAGGGGCTTGAGGCAGCTGTTAATATAATGTTTCATTACAAACTACTTCCAACAAGCATTCGTGGTGTAATGGTAACATTCCAGCCTTCCACTAGTACGGTTAGCTTGAGCCTCGGGTTCGATTCCCGGCGAATGCATTTTTTAGGGTTTTGGATAAATTGCCGGATGAGTCATGTCATCCATGCGTTGTATGATGACAAAGATGATGAGGATGACATAAGACAACCTATTGATGGAAGGTGCGAGCACCCAATATTGGTTCCGTTCATAGCCGATTTAATGCATTCGTGGACATCATCACCATCAATACACCCAAGGCTGGTCTTCATCCATTGTCTTCAACGATTGAGTGTCCATGAATGGCGACTGACTGAGTGCGCAGACTGAATTTTTGAGTGCTTTCTTTGACGGCAGTGGAACCTCAATGAGGTGTGCGGGTCAAGTGAGGCACGACATGATACGGCAATGTTCGTCAGAGGTTGGGCAACATTGCGCGTTGTTGACCGCCAGACCTGTCGCGGGTCTACAGCTTGCCTCTTGATTGTTCATGTCAACTGCGTGAGGTGGACGTCTCCCTCCAGCGCGCGCCCGAACATAGTGTGACAAGAGCACCAGTCGAGCCACCTGAGCAGTTGATCCTGGCCCAGCCAGTCCTTGACGACCTTGCACTCGAAGCAACCAGCATGGAACCATACCAGCCTTTTTCTCACGGATCGATGCTGTCGGCTTCAGTGAATACTGATACAGAAGCTATTGGTCTTGGCCGCAAGAGCGCAGAATGGCAGTCCGGCTTTCTGCGGGTCTCTGAATCTTGCATTGTGCTACAGTGATGCTTGAGAAAGACAGCCGTCGACCTACTTTATGCCATTCTCCCACGCGCCGATCCAGGATAGTGGCATTCATACGTGTTCGCCTGACATTTCCTTCGCATACTCCAACATTTCGAATACAACTTGGTTCAAACATTGGAGCGCGCCATCAGAAATCGGGTCAAAGGATGTAGAAAACCTAACGTCTTTCACGACTTTGACTCAGCCAAGCAGTCTATCTTGACTTTTGCAAGTCGACACTTTATTTTCCATTTGGTTCTACGAACGAGCAAGCCGTAAGCACTTACGGTAGCTCGGTGTCTAGATCATCTGAAAAGTCAAAGTCCGCACAAGCTGCCATCCTGAAAATTGAGGAATATGCTGACAACTTACAAGTCACACCGTACAGACTAATCAAAATGTCTCAACCTCATAGGACTCTCGTCTCGGTACCACAGCGACCAGTTCACTGCAATCAGTTGACCATACTCGCAGCACTCAAGCTTGAACAAAAACTTGAGATGAAACAGACATACGAATGATGGTTTATGATACAATCGTGAACAACCATTCCTCCCTGCATAGCACGCACCTGAACTTGAGCATTTGAAAACCGCGATAACTTTCACTTTTGAAACCTGCTTCCTTGTTGACTGCTCACGAGATCACGTAGCTGATGTGTGATCTAAACTTCTGAAAAAAGGTGTATCTACGGTCGCCGACCATGATTCATAGTCAACAAACACCGGACGAAACGAGTCACCACGTCAACCAATATCGACTTGATGTTGCGGATTTTGTGCATTGCTCGAGTTGTCCGCCTGTACATGTACTGCGACTTGCCATTGAACAACAACATCCCATATTCCTCCGACAAAGATCTCGGGTTCCTGTTCCTCCCATAGCTGGGGGGCAAGGGGGTCTGAAGTAATCCAAAGCATGACTATCTGATGATTTGTTCGTCCGTGGTAGCGTAACTGTACTGTACAAGGAGAACAACAGCCATTCATGATACCATTACTCTGTAGGAGAGCCGATACATTATAAAGTCGAAACGGCCCTTACCGTTGTAATGCGCGAACAAGAGACGATGTCCTTACCTAAATAGAGTACACACGGCTCTTCTTATATTACTCCACATCCATATATAAAACTCTATATGTGCTACTTTACGCCTGCTCGACCGTGATGAACCTCTTTCCCAAGCCAAAGAAGAAGCAAGTTATAACGTAGATATCATCTCGGCCCAGCCTCTCCAGAGACTACCTAGGTACTTGTACGAATCGAATTGTGAACGTATGCCTGCTCGGCGGTAAATTCGCGATGGCCGGGGCTCGCTCATCATGACAAAAACCTAGAATATGATATGAACACCAACAGGTTCAGAATCAAAATCAAGTGTACCAAAACAGCTGGACAGAACAGTAGGATGATGAAGAAGAAAGAAGAATAGTGGCGAGACAAAAACTTAGCGAGGGAAGATCAAGTCGAAGCCGTCGTCGCCTTTGCATAAATCACCAACATGCGAGGAGAACGGTTTTGAACACGATATTAGCTCAAATCTATGACTTATTCAAGAGACAAGAGTCGTCGCCGAGAAGTAACTTTCTATGAAATGCGAAGATATCATATTTCCATATTCATGTGGTAAAGACTTTGTATGTTACCAAGTCCAACCTTGCCTCTGTGGGAAGACGAAAACAATGTTCTAAGCTGACTCTTCTCTGGGGTGCTGGAAAAGATGTGCGAATGAGATAAGAACATTGCAACGTCGGGCCGGGGTTGTATCGTGTTGTGGTAACCGAATACAGCCACTCTCGCGACTATATACGGATTGAGCTATCCACATGGCGTCGTGGTGATCACCAAGTATGACCCAGCGAGTCCTGCATCAAGTCAATCAATCGCACTATCGATATCTCACAAAACAGTATTGTGTGCTTGCCGCGAACATGAATATCTCCCTCAAAGAACCCAAACCCACACAATCATAATATTCTGGGACATCAACACAAGCTGAATCGGTCTCTTCAGTATGGAGAACCGAGGTATGGAAAACATGGCAGAAAGTCCAGTCTGAGCGGATACAAGGCCACTTCAAACCATAGACGATATTGGATATATATAGCCTGTACAGATTTTTATGAGGTCTTCAGACTCTTTGTTTTATTAGGCAGGCAATTAAGCTACGGTCAGAAATGTTAGAGACATAATCTGTTCGCATACCGAACGTGCAATCGGCAATACTTTGAGACTTGGCAGACACATACATACACGCATATATATATATATATATATATATATGTGTGTGTGTGTGTGTGTATATTCAATGTTACCGCATTGACCGCTGTAAAACTGTTGAAATTTTACAGTATATCGACCCAATCCATCACATGCTTGACACAACAGGAGGAAAACCCGATCCACCAACAACATAAAAATACGCAAAGATACAACAAAACACACTCACCAACACAAATACGCAAAAAATAGAACCATGACGGATTGGATACTGACCAAGTTGAATTGATCCTTCAGTCTCTATAAACTTGTTGACACTGGTGCTCTTTGCCCAGTAAAGTTGAGTGACATGAGGAACCCTTTAACTTCAAACAAGATCGATTCAACAACCAACCACACAGTTTTCATCCTTCTCGTCTTTCATGACAGGCACGCGCACCTGCTTTTACCCTGAAGAATACTTGACCCTAGAACAAAACCGTCTAGTCTAGAGCGACGCGCTAGCAGCCGCAGTAGCAGAGGCAGAGACGCTAGATGCAACAGCAGGGACCGAAACTGGCGCCGAAACCTGAGGCAACAGAGTCGATGCAGCCGCCACCACGGAAGAAGTAACAGATTCGACTGGCGCGGTGGACACCGCGCTGGCCACACTGACCGTGATGCCACCAACATCGGCAATGGCCGTCTGGAGTGCGGACAGCGCCGTTTGGAGGTCTGTGACGTCGAGACCCGAGTCGTCGCTCGCGTTGATGATCTCGGTGGTAAAGTCCTGAAGGGGCTGGAGTGCGGTGGGGATACCCGTCTGGATGACAGCGCTCTCTGCGACGCCAACCTGGGGGACGTTGGACAGGCTGCCGAGGAGGATGACGAGGCCCTGCAGGGCCGAGATGGAGTTGGCGATGCCGTTGATGTCGCCTGTGAGGGTGGTGATGTCGTCCTGGGTCACGGCTGAGGCGGCGCTGACGATGCCGCCGGGACCGTTTGTGGTGGCGGTGGTGACGGAGCTGTGGAAGGTGAGGAGGTCGGTATTCAGCTGGCTCACGTCGAAAATCAGGTCGGCCACGTCGCTGATGAGGGCCAGCTGGTTGTCAGTCAAGATGTTGGTAGCCGTCTGGTCTAGGTGAGGGCGTGGAGTGGTTAGTATTTATGTTGCAAGAGGCAGCCACAGTGAAGGGGCAGTCTGATGGACGTTGACAACATGAAAACGCAGAGATCACAACATACTAATCGCGCCACTGTCTGCCACCAGGGCGGCCTCAAGAGTCGAGGTGGCAGCATCAATAAGCGGAACGGCGGATGTGTTGGAAGACACCTGGGCCCAGGCGCCAGCCACCAAGCTGAGAACAAGAACTGCTGCCGAGTGCCGCATTTTGTCGGATTTGAAGATGTGTGGTGGGTTGCTCCAACAAACTGGAGTGAGATTGAAACTGCTGGTTTGTAAAGAGAGTCTTTGGTTCGTCGGATTGATGCGAAGAGCGTGGGTTGGATCTTCAGAGGACAAACCCGTGGGCTACCGGGGGTTGGAGGGACGATTTATATGATGGTGTCACTCCCCAGTCACGGAATGCAGTGATTTTTTGCATCATGTCCCTCGGGCTCGGCGATGGCTGTCCTTCCCCTCATGACTGCGTCTTGCGGTGGTTCGAGTCCAAGGCTTCGCGCCAGACACGTGTGTCGTCGGACGAGTAGAGAGGCCAAGGGCGTGAGTCTTTGTGGTCATGCTCATTCCAACGGGCCCCTTCATGTCTAAGTCCTTGCGTGTACACGAGAAGGAGAGTGAGACACACATTCTTGTTGATCACGTCGAGGCATAATGGGTGGATTCCTGTCGCGGTTGGGCAGCCTTGTGTGTTTTCGAGGTTCCCCTAGGCGTGGCTGGCACGGAAAAGAAGACGCTGCTGGATGCTCCAAGGGTCCCGTAGGCATTGGCCAATTGCGTTGCAGTGATGTCAACACCGTTAGACAGCCGTTGGAAGAGAAGACTTGGACGCGAATCTGGATTCCGCTCGAATCGCTCCAAGGTGGCAGCCTCGTTTGTTCTGACTAGCAAAGATGCAGACCCTGCAGAGACGGAACTGCTCTCGAGA